ATAAAATATATTTAAAAAAAAAAGATTACGACCTAACATTATCGAAGCTGAAGTATTAACAGGATCTGCAGAGGGAGAAGTTAATCTGATTCCAAGAATTGATTTGTCCCCGTCTGACACTGGCCTCCCATTTAAATTAATTCGACGACAGTTTCCCATGATGCCCGCATTTGCGATGATTATTAGTAAATCACAAGGACAAACTCTAGACAGAGTAGGAATATTCCTACCTGAACCCGTTTTCACACATGGTCAGTTATATGTTGCTTTCTCTCGAGTTTGAAGAGCATGTGATGTTACAGTTAAAGTTCTAAATACTCCATCACAAGGGAAATTAGTCATGCACTCTTAAAGTGTTTTCACTCTTAAAGTGGTATACAGGGAGATATTAGAATAAGTTGAATCACTTTATCAGTCATTGTTTGCATCACTGTTGTTTTTATATCATGTTTTTGTTGTTTTCATATAATGTTTTTGTCATTTTTATATCGTGCCTCTGTTGCTGTTATATCCTTTTGTTACTCTTTATTTATTAATAAATTTATATATTATTTTCATATACATTTTACTAATTTCCTTTCATCTCTCACACTTCTATTATAGAGAAAGGGCAAATAGCAATATTAAAATATTTCTGCTAATTCCCTCTTAATGTGCATGAATTTCGTGCACTGGGCTACTAGTTCTTACATATTAAACCTAATCAATATGTTTAAATTATAAGTAAAACCAATCCCAACAAGCTATTTCAAGGAAGCTTTTCTTTCTCAATAAAAGAGTCAGAAAATTATATATACGTTTATATTTAAAAAATAATTTAGAATACATGTGAATATATTTCACATATATGTATAAAATTCTTTAAAATCATAAATATTCAAATAGCAAAGTAGAATATACTTACAATCTAATTTTTGATAACTTAGAAGGAAATCAAAATAGTATACTGTAACAAACTTTTTTATCTAAAAACAAACTATCCAAGTACCTATTCTCTCACTAGATCTCCGGGGCCAGAACAGTGGGGAATGTTTGTTGAATCAATGAATAAACTAGTTTCTTTTTTATTAGAAGGCATAAATACTTAATAATTATGATTCAACCAACTTTAATAAGAGTAACTACTACTCATTAATTACCTTACTCATTACTCACTACTAGAAAATACAGGGTGGGATAAAAGTAGGTTTAACAGTCATAGTATGGGAAATAATACAATCATTAATAAAAAAATAATGTATGAATAAACTGTGCTTCATGTAGTCACAACTGTAAACCTACGTTTGCCACACACCATGTGTTGAATAAATCAATAAATGTAACTGTAGTGGATGCTATGACTCATCATCCAGAACCCCTTTGTAAAACTGAAGGGCTTATTTTCTTAACTGTTAGGAGTAATGCTGGCAGACAGCCCTCAGCTGTCAGCCTTCTTAGGGGCTCAAATAGCCTTTTTGGCCCAAGATTACACTCATTCCTGAGGCAGCTTGCATCTAATTGAGGCAGGATAATAAGAAGCTAGGAAAATTCCTGGGCAAGTAGAATGTGGAAACTGAGACAAGATCATTAAACAAGGCCAAACAAATTAACCAATTTATAGCCAGCTAGTGAATCAACAAGACCTTATTTTTCCTAACCAAGGGCACTTGAGAACAAATGTTTGATACCTCTCCTCTCTGACCGGAGGATAAATAGCTTAAGTCACCCTGACCAGGGAGATAGAACACAGAGACCCAATTAATGCTATTTGTGCCAGCCAAACCCAAGGATGGATGAAGTCAGAGAAACAAATACCAAAAACTCGATTACAGACAGACAGACCCAAGATAAAAGTAAAGGAGTGAAGTTGACCAGAGAATAATCCCAAACTCCCCTATACAGTCGTTTTGATGTATCAGCGTATTTAAAATGCACCTGGAAAGCTGATGAATACTCTGCTGAAACCCTCCCCTAAGATTTTAGCACCCAGAGGAGAAATAAAAATCCTCAAGAGAAAGGATGCTGGGCGGGCACTCTCTGGAGCACTTTTTACTTCTTTTCTCCTAAACTCTAAGGGTCCCCATGAGACCTGAAACCAGGGGAGCAGCAGGAAGCAGAAGCTCGTCCTGGGTTTACCACTTTCCAGTGAACTAACAGCAGCTCTGCCTTATCTCACTCTGTCACTGTGACTGTTACTTCCCAGTGAGCTATTAGTAGCCCTATCTTGGGGCTCACTTTCTATGGAGCCAAAGCAGAGCATCACCTAGGCCAGTGGTCGGCAAACTGCGGCTCACGAGCCACATGCGGCTCTTTGGCCCCTTGAGTGTGGCTCTTCCACAAAATGTCACATGCGGACGTGCAGGTACAGTGCAATTGAAACTTCGTGGCCCATGCGCAGAAGTCGGTATTTTGTGGAAGAGCCACACTCAAGGGGCCAAAGAGCCACATGAGGCTCGCGAGCTGCAGTTTGCCGACCACTAACCTAGGCTCTCTCCTGTTATTTCTTCTATCCGTAAGTCCTTCCTTTGCTCCACTGTCCCCAGCTTTAATAAATGTACTCTCAAAATCACCTGGACTCATATGTGAAATCTTTCCTGCAGGAAGTCAATAACCCACACACTACAGGCCGGCCTGAGGTAGACCTGCTCTGGGTCCAGTCCCCATCCGGTCACATAATAATTGGGGATATAAAGGTCCAGCTCTCCTTACCCCAATTTGAGACAATTATGAGGATCACCCCAACTTCAGAGCTCATTCTTGGGGTTGTTGAGACTGCATCACAGTCCAACTTCCATGGAAATTGGGCTTCCTTTCTTTGCATGGCATTGAAGGCCTCCCTAGTAAATTGCTATACTCTAATTTTCATCTTAGAGTCTGCTTTCAAGAAACCCAATCTAAGACAAAAGATGATCTAGGTCTGATCCAGATTTAAGTCTCCCAAGGAAAGGTACTTAACTTCATAGTAAAGTCAGTAAATATAAAAGGCTTTACAAAGACTAAGGAATGATAAACTCTTTTATCCCTATAATTCGTTTCCTTATTTCAGCTACTTTAAGTAATCAAGAGACCTGGAATATTTTGAGGACTGCCTTTGTGCATCTGTTTTAGTATCATGTAAACTATTAATGACAAACTGTACCAAATGCAATTATTACCTAACTTAAAAGAAAGGAAAAATTAAACATTAATGAATTTAGTATAAACATGGCATTGCAGAGAGCAGTTGTTCTTATCATGGGTGTTAATTAAATCTGACTTGATAAAGAATTGCTTTACCATTAAAAGCTACTCAATACATTAAGTACAATACTTTTTAAAAAAATCCTCATCTGAGGATATGCTTATTGATTTTAGAGAGATGGAAGGAAGGGAGGGAGGGAGGGAGGGAGGGAGGGAGGGAGGGAGGGAGGGAAGATAGATTAATGTGAGAGAGAAACATCAATGGTTCCCTCCCATATGCATCCCATCCAGGGATGGAACCCACAGTCTAGGTATGTGCCCTGACCAGGAATCAAACCCCCAACTTTTTTGGTGCATGGGACGATGTTCCAACCAACTGACAGACCCAGGTAGGGCTTAAGTACAATACTTTTAATTACAATGGACAGAAATGCAATGCTTATGAAAAAGTCATTGTTAAAATATGAAAAGTTACAAATTATCAGAACTATTCAAGGCACAGCTGAGTAAAAAATAGATGAATAAGTAACAAAACTATTTGCTTTATCTGGATATAGCGCTATTGGATTTAAGCTATTTTGGGCTTAAGTAATACCTTAACTTTGTAATAATGGTTGATGAAGTACAACTATTAAATTGAGGCTCAAGAATTATTTCAAGAATGTAAGTACTCATTTCCTAAGATTTAAAAAAACAACAACACGTTTTTTATTAATTTTAGAGAGAGAGGAAGGGAGAGAGAGATAGAGAAACAGCTATCAGTTGCCACTCATACAGGATGGAACCAGCAACCTGGGCATGTGTCCTGACTGGGAATCGAACCAGCGGACCTTTCAGTGCACAGGACGACACTCAGCCAACTGAGCCACATGGCTAGGACAAGATTTTTTAAACTGTAAGACTATTTGTCAATTTGCTATACAGATTGGCTAGCACTAGCCATGCTTTTCTAGTATCACCTAGTAATTCATGCTCACTACTAAAATCTGGAAGTTTTGCCAAAGTGTATAGATCCCAATATTCAGCTTTCCGATAAAAGTTAAATGATTGGTCTATATATGGAAAATGTTTCAGGCTACATTCCCTGGAAAATGGCCCAAAAGGCATTTAATTCTATCTATATATATTTCAGGAAACATGCCTAAACTTGAATCATCTGCTATGTGGAAATTTAAGAGGCATGCTGAGTGACAAATTACCATCATGACCTTTGCCATATTTCTTCACCATATTCTCTTCTTTCAATAAAATGAGTCAACTAAGTAATATTACTTGTCCACGGAGACATGTTTTGATAGTCACAAGATGATATTTAATCAAAGAAAACTGAAAATAGCATAGAGTATTGAAAAGACCTGGTGCCAGTACTAACACACATAAAATATTTTAGTCAGAATTAGTAACTTGTCACTAAGTTACTATAATTAGATTCCAAGTATTTCATTAACTTATTTAATACTTACCTTTCCCTATCATAACATAAAAGCAACCACTGACAACCCATCTTTATTTTTAACACTGCTTTTATTTATTTGTGCTTTCCTCTAAATATCTCCTGCACATATTTCCTTACTGCTGATTTCTTTTTCTAAGAAAATTCATTAAAAATCAGAATCATTACTACTTTCATGTATAACAGCATAATGTTCAATTTCATGCCCAAATTAAATAGCTTATAAGTCATTTTATTTTATGGGTTTTCTAAAGATGGTTACTCTGTAATTAATCATTTAGAGGGCCAACTTCCTAATGGCAGATCCTTTAATGACAGAGAAAGAGTCATCTCTTAAAATTTACATTATGTGGAAAGTCTGAGAAGTATTAGGCCGTTGTCATCTTACCATGAACACTTCCTAGTGTTATATCCCCAGCAGCAGAAGATAGAAATGATGATTCTGTGTAAAGATACTTGGCTTTCAGCAAACCATCTTCAGTAGATATATTAACAGAACTTCCCTGCAGTTTATCTATGGTCACAGTCTAGTAAGACAAAGACTCAAATTAGTTCATTATACAACAAATACTGGTAAAAAGCCAAAATGGTACATACAGAAGTAGTAGGTAACTACATAAAAAGTTAGTACCAAATCACTTTATTGGCTTTGATTCCCTAACTCTATCAATTACAAGATTAATAGTGACAGTGCACTCGCTGTAGAATGAGAAATAGACCCATTATATTCATTTATTTAGATCTTTAATTTCTCTTAATGTTTTACATTTTCTATGTAATTTTTCATATTTTGTTACATTTATTCCTATTTGATATTTCTAAGTGCTACTATAAAAGATATTTAAAATTTTACTTGACCTTATTTGGCTTTTTTATTTGACCTTAAATCCAACAACTTTACTAATTTTAATAATTTATCTGAATTAGAAACATGTTTTTACATGCATAATTATATTATCTACAAGTGATAATTTAATTCAGCGGTGAATAGAAGCCATGGGACAGCAAGAATTCTCATCTTATTCCTGTTCTCAGAGGGAAAGCTTTCAACATTGTATCAAGTAGGATGTTTGCTATAGGTACCTTTTTGATCTCTTTTATCAGATTAAAGAAGTCCTCTTATACTTCAAATTTGTTTTGTTGCTATTTAAATAACAGATTTTGAATTTTAGCATACTTTATCTGATTTTATTAGACTATCATGATTTTTCTCATTTCGTTGTTTAATGCAGTGAATGCACTATTATTTTTAGAATTTTTCCACTTTACATCTAATAAGGCAGTAGCTTTCCACTGAACAAAATGGAAGGAATTTTGTATTTATCCCTAAGTTTCCCTAGCAAAATGTGGTATGCATTTATGTCTCACATATTGTGCACAATATAAAATGAAGATAGCTAGTTTAGAATTGCAAATCATCTTTGTAGTATTTTAAACAAATGTTTTTAAGCATAAAATGAATGTTAATATAAAATTGTTAATATAGAAACTGAAATCACCAGGAAGGCTTGCCAGTTTTGCCCAGGGTCAAATTAATGTATTACACTGGGGGGTTTAAAGAAAGAACATCATTGTTTTTTCAACACATGGGCATTGGTATAACCAGCTCCTAATATATCCTTCAAAAACTGTTAAGCATTCAAAATATTTTTAATAAGAATTGAGTTTCAAGAATACTAAAATATGAGAAGACAAATACAAATATGAAAACAGAAATAAAAGTACCCTGTGGTTCTTATCTGAAGTAAATTAGAATCACTTGGCCCTCTGGATTTGAAATATATAGTTTTCTTTTTTAATGGACTTTTATTAAATATACTAGAGGCCCGGTGCATGAAATTTGTGCACTCAGGAGGGTCTCTCAGCTGGCCTGCGCCCTCTCGCAGTCTGAAAGCCCTCAGGGGATATCTGACAGTCAGATTCAGATATCCCCTGCCACGGAGGCGTGAGAGGCTCCTGCCACCACTGCTGCACTCACCAGCTGTAAGCCAGGCTCAGGGCTTCTGGCTGAGCAGCGCTCCCCCTGTGGGAGCACACTGACCACCGGGGGGCAGCTCCTGCATTGAGCACCTGTCCTCTGGTGGTCGGTTCACGTCATAGCGACCAGCTGTTTTGCCGTTTGGTCTATTTGCATATTAGCCTTTTATTATATAGGATAAGACACACCCAACTGCTTTTTTTACCTACTACAGTTTTGCTAAGCTAATTTTGGATCACGGAAATTTTCACTTTAAATTTAGTTTCAATAATTCTATCAACCAAAGATAGATATATTCAAATTTGTGAGAATACAATGTTTGGCATTCTTCAGTGTTATAGTAAAGGTATAAAATTTCTGAAAATTTTATCTTTTACCTACAAAATTTCTTCATGAAAAGTTACCTTATGCATGGTTTTAAATTTTCCAAGTTTCTACAAAGTAGATAGCAAGTAGGAATATTCCAGTTTTTACAGACACAGAAGCTGTTTTAGGGACCACCAAAAGATAAACAGATAAACATTGAGAGAATATTTGAATCTTAATTGAACTGGCAAAGAGGAACTTTTGATTAGACTCTCCCTATAACCAAATAGCCTTTAAGAGACTCTATGAATATCTGGAAAATGCCAAGGATTTACTTTGTTCATTAAACAGGAAATATTTTACTCTGTAGGAAGCTAGAAATATATCCTCCACTGCCCCACCAAAGCAAATGAAAGCAAGTGAAAGTACACTTCCCCCACCACAATATAGTAATTTTAACTGATTATTCTATAAAATTAATTTCAAACAAATTCAAAATTCACTAATATAATGTACTATATCAGATAATAATTAGAACAATTAAACTTAGGACATCACAGTTTACAGCAAAATATTGAGGTTCTGATTTACAGTTATTAATGATAATGAAACAAATCATAAATAGACTCTTTGAATTAAACTATATAGCTTGCTTATTAATAGAAGATAGCTATTTAAAGAGAAAAAAATAGATCCCAAAATCAATACCTTCCTGAGAGATATTACTATCATTAATTTCCTTTTCTAAGAAAATGAGAGGAAAAATTTTTCGTAAGTTTAGTTATTATAAATCAACATTACATGTAATGAAAACCAAGTTTTAAAGAACCACTGTAGCTTTGCAGTCCAACCTACAAAGAGAGGTCAACTAACAACTATGTCATTAATTTATCCACCAATCATATGAATTTCTATCTTCTCTGTACCAAAATTAGGGTACTGAAATTAATGATATAATTTAAAAACAGCTACTCCATATAAAATAACATGTAAAGAATGCTGTTAAGTGTTTTCAGAGCTCACCTGATTCTCATAATCTTGTTGACTAGGGAAAACAAATAATACCATCGCTGTTTTACGAATAAAGAAGTCTCAGTAAAGTTAATGGTAGATCCAGGACTGGTCAAGTTGTCTTTGTTAAATGTGTTTCATTTACCTTTATCACCATCATTATAATCGCTAGTATAAAAACCCCATGGCCTTGACGCCTTGATGCTGTAATGACCAAACACCAAAAGGCACCTGCTGAACGTCATACGATTTCTTCACAGGAACAAGTAAGTGTTGCTCTGTTCAATTCTCATCTTCCAATGAAGGTCAATTTAAGTGCTCTTGAGAAGGGAAGGTTAGGGCAAGAAACTATTCTTATCTCCGTCCACAACGGTTTTTAAGGTGGGCAGGCTGCGTGTACAGCGAGGCGCGTACAGGTGGGCGGGGACTTGATGCTGGGCCCCGTGGCGCGCCAGGTATAGGTCTCATGCAATTTCCCATGGTGGGCCTCTAGTAAACACTATATTAGAGTTAGCTACATGCCAGACATCATTTTAAGTACTTTGTCTGTATTAACTCATTTTATCCTCATAACAACCCTCAGAGTGAAGTACATTACTATTATTCCATTTTCCAGAAAAAGCAGACATATAGAGATTAAGTAATTTGTCTGAAGTTAAAGAGCTTAGTAAGTAGCTGAACCAGGATTGAAACCCAAGTAGTTTAGTTCTTAATTCTGTGCTCTTAACCAATTCACAATGCTGCTTCTCAAATATGCAAAGCATATGTCTGTGAAAGTAGTACAGTGGGGCCTTGACTTACAAGTGTCCCTACTAACGAGTTTTTTGAGATGCCAGCTGTCTCTCGGCCGATTTTCTGCATTGAGTTGATAGAGTAATTTGAGTTAACGAGCTCCTTAACGAGCTCGGTCTCGGAACGAATTAAACTCGAAAGTCAAGGCCCCACTGTGTATTAAAAGTTAACACCCTATATAATAAAAGAGAAACATGTAAATTGACCATCCCTCCACTACGCTCACCAGCCAATCAGGAGAGTATGCAAATTAACCCAACAAAGATGGCGGGTTAATTTGCATATGCAGGCACCGAGCAGCCTGAGTCCCGGGAACAGCCTCAGGACTCAGGCCACTCCTAGCCTGTAGGCCCGCACATAGGCCCTGAGCAGCCGGGTTTCCAGAATGGCCCGGCCACTCCGGGCCTACGGGCGCAGGCGCCAAGCGGATGTTCCCACCCCGTAGCACTTGCGCGTGCGTCGGCGCCAAGCAGCGGCCCAAGTCCACGCCCCCCAGCTTGGCGCCCATCACAGGGCGAACAGGCCAGGCCAAGCCTCCACGCGATCCCAGGCAAAGAAGCCTCTCCGCTGACCAGCCTACGCTATGGACCTGTTTGGGTGGGTGGCGCGGAGTCCCGGGCCTCTAGAATGCACCCACAGGAAGTCCCCCTCTCCCCAGAGTTAGGAGCACCAGCCCAGGTCCACCCAGCGGCCTTGACTGCGGGGGTGAGTTCCTGCAGGCTGGGGTTTGATCCCTAGGCATTAGCAGTAGGAGACCAGTGCCTTTGTTATTGCTGTGTGTCCGGGTTTTAATTGGACAAATGCCCAATGGTCCTGGGCGCCAGATTAGCAAAATCTTTTAGGAGGAGAATTCTGTCTGGGTTTCCTCAAATTCCCTCAGCCACAACTCACCCATCTGTAAAGATGCAGAACAATTGAGGCCCCTTAAATAAAAATCAGAGGTCTCCAGCAACTGTGGGCCTCTCATCACAGTCATTTGGACTGGAATGCATTTGAGTATTTATCTAGGCACCATGACAGGGAACACACAAGCTCAAGTCATGATCTCTGCCCTTAAATAATTCACAATCTTATTAGAGCGAGTGGCTGATAAAAGCGCAGTAATGACATCAGAATGTAAGGCAACAATACAGAGAGGAACAGAGGCAATTGCTAGGATGATTTTCCAACCATTTTAGTACAGAGTATGTGCTGTGAATTAAATAAAAAAAATATGTGTGGAAGTAGCTGCTTCATGAGTATGGGATCCCTTCCTATTTTAAAGGAAACTGAGTTCCATGTGGATGGCATTTGAGTATTTATGCTATATCTGAGGCACAGGACAAGGGAGGCCCTAAGTGTACTATGCTTTGATAGTTGAGTCATTCTTTATTGTTCAATGTGATTTATTTCTGCACGCCTCAATTTTGTAATAGTTAAATTACTAGAATAATACATCTTGCTATAAAAGATTACTAGAAGATCAAATGATCAGGTGACATTTTTTGTTATTTTCTATAAATGAACACAAACTCTGGTATGCTAAAGTGATAGCTATTATAGAAATATTCAGATAGGGAGACCTACAGGCTTGATTACAAGTGAGGCTTACTCTCACAACCCAAATTTATTGCTTAAAAAAAAAAGCAGGGAGCCAACTAGAAACTGAACCAAATATAAGCCCTTGAAGGGCAAATGTAAATTGGATAAGCTTTGCTATTACAAGTGCAAGAAGAAAAAATTCAGATGCAAGAATGAGAAGCACATTGCATCCACCCTAAGTTGCTGTTAAAGAATGATATACTATGAAAATACTTAATACAGATTATAAAGAGATTTGTTTAAAGAGGATTTCCTAGAGTAGGTGCTATTTCAGTTAATTTTTTTTAAATGTGAAGAGGTTAGCTAGATAAGAAAAAGGTGTAGGGATCCTGAATTGCAGAGGGTGCAGGCGGGGCTGAGGGACCCCCCCCCCCCCCCGCACCCGCATGCACAAATTTCATGCACCGGGCCTCTAGTATTTCATAAGCATTTATTTTATAGAAAACTCCTTAAACTTAGAAATATGCTTTAAAATGAACACTATAAGTTAGAAAGAAATATCTAGATCAGTGGTTCTCAACCTTCCTAATGCCGCGACCCTTTAATACAGTTCTTCATGTTGTGGTGACCCCCAATTTCATTGTTACAAATTGAACATATTTAAAGCATAGTGATTAATCACAAAAACAATATGTAATTATATATGTGTTTTCCGATGGTCTTAGGCAATCCCTGTGAAAGGGTCGTTCGATCCCCAAAGAGGTCACGACCTACAGGTTGAGAACTGCTGATCTAGACTGATTCAACACAAAACTCAATCAAGCTAGAAAACAAAGTAGTATAATAGAAAGTGGGACTAAATGAATATGCAATAAACCATAAAAGTTGAAAGAAAGAAATGAGTGGAAACAGTAGCCAAAATATTCAAAATAGCAAATAATTAAGATATAATTTAAATTCTTCTTTGATACTTGTATTTGAATGTCAATATGTAATATTCTGGTAACTTAGATCATTTCAGATAGCATGAGGTTTCATTTAAAGTACAGAGTGTGAAGAACTATAAAGTTGTCCAATTTCCCTTTTGTACCTCTAAGACCACAGCAATCTGAGAGATGAAACTAAATGCCATCTCAAAAGAGCTGCTATGGAAGGCAAGGCAGTGTCTTTCAATACTAGATTAATTTAAAGAATAAATGTGTGGGTTTAAACACTCTCTCACAGGTTAAAGATAGAAAATAAAAGTGACAACAGTAGAAACAATTAGTGTTATAATCTACCTTGTTTAATTATGCTAACAGTAATCTACCTATAAGATACATTCACAACTCCTCCCTACCAATTATCCTATATAAAAGGCTAATATGCAAATTGTCCCCTCGGGAGTTCCACCAACCAGGAGTTTAACCACTCACTATGACGTGCACTGACCACCAGGGGGCGGCACGAAATGAAGGAAGGCCCTGGCCAGCAGCCAGCAGCTGCGGGAAGGAAGGCCCCAGTCAGCAGCCGGCAGCTGGGAGAAGGAAGGCTCGATTGGCCCTGATCAATTGGCCAGGCCTAGAGACCCTACCCGTGCATGAATTTCAGGCACCGGGCCTCTAGTCTGAGAATAAAACTGAGTATGGATTTTAACAATTGTATAACAAAAGAGCCTTGCAAACTGTGTAAGTGCAGAACAAAAGGTGATTTATACGTTTCTCAAAGATTTAAAACATTATCATGTTTACAAATTTTGTGACAATTCATACTCCAAAATTTACCTTTACTCTTAATACTATGTTAAATCACAGAAAGCAAAAGTTGATTAAAAATATACAAATTCTCCTATAACAACCAAAATGCATATGGCTAATAAAAATTTTTGAGAACAGTAATGCTATGTTATCTAGTGGTGCCATCTTGTGGAAAATACTGAAGAAAGCTGAGTTTTGAAAATTATCCTTCAATTGCCTAAAAGCAAATAAACAGGTTTTGGAAAAATACTCAAATAAATCTAACACATGCTAGTAAGGAGAATTTAATCCTAGTTATGGTGGTATTATTTAATAATCCATTTTAATCCATGATCATAAAAATCTCTTCAGAACTAGAATAAAATATTGAGCATTTAAAGATGTTATTGATTCTAAATAAGAAACTAAATAACTGTCAAAAAACTTAAATCAAAAACTAAAATTTAAATTGTATAATATTTAATCACCTTAATTTGAAATTTAAATGAACACTTACTAATGAACTAAAATGCAGTAAAAGGGAATGTTATGCCACAAATTTGGTAGAACCTACCCACTGTATGAGCCAACTTGATGTAAAGCTGAAATTACTTTTTTTAAAAAAAGTGTCAATCTTACACTTTTATCTGATGCATGAATATCTATATTTCCATAAATTGTTCCCAGACAGATCACTTTGCCTCCTTTCGTTTGAACACATAATTTTTGACTCTGAAAGACAAATACAAAAATACAAAGAGAAAAAGAATAAATTTGACTTATACAAATAAGATTTCTATCATGTTACACACTTCTTTTTAAATAATAATAAAGCAGAAGAGAGGAAACAGGAATTAAAAAGAAATGCACTGTTTGGAATAATAACATCAAGTAAAAAAGAATATCAACTGCTTTAAGAAGATTAAATAAGCCATGTGGATTCAAAGGGGGAAAAGAGCTACCTGGGCGTTCCAGTAGCTTCACTGAAAAAGAACTTGGGAATCAAAGACCACTGACTGGCTAACTACACATAAAGGATGAGGAGGATGACAACAATCACCACTGTTACTGTTCATTGTTATTAATATTCGTCATTATTAATAAGAACATTTAGCACTTATCTGGCAATTCTTTGCATCAAAATACAATATTCACTACTTTACATTAATTATCATTTAATCCTCACAACAACTCAGAGAAATAGGTATCATATTTTCCCCATTTTACAGAAGGAGAAATCCAAGAATCAGAAAAGTTAAATAATTTTATCAGACGACATGGTTAGAAGAAAAAAATACCTAACAGAATTAAGCTCCATATAATTTCAAAACTCACACTCTCATGGTTGGGTTCATCTGAAGGAAATACTGTATTCACACTTAGTATAACAGCCCACTGACTGTTAAACTTTTAAGCATAGCACCTCAGAAACTGGAATTAAGTGAAAATTCCTCTAAGCACAAATAAAACAGCAGTCACAAATTGCCTGCTCTGCCAGATTTAAAAAAACAAAAAACAGTGAGAGTGAGTGTGTGTGTAACTTGATGTCACACTTGTCAACTGTGGCAGAAACTACTATTGGTCCACAAAAATCCACTTTCCTCCCCAAAGTAATAGAGGAGTATAGCTGGGCTCATGAATAGATTGTCTCTTACGTTTTGCTAAATTCTTGCCACAAGAATATAAGTGGAAATGCTATGTGCAATTTCCAGGCTTGTGCTTTTAGAAGAGTTGGCGTGCTTTCTCCATGATCTGCCCCTTCCACCAGATGAGTGTAGGTTACAAGAAGGCTCTAAGAGATGATAGAGCCAGAAGATGGAAGGAACCTAGAATCACTGAATAGAAAAAAGCCACCTACACTTTTGGGCACAAGTGAGAAATAAATTATAATTGTATATGAACCAGTAGATGTTTGGTCTATTTACTAGAGTAGCTTCTTTACCTTAATCATTTACATGTCTTCAGTTCTGCCACAATTATAAAGAAAAATATATAGGTAAATATGCCTGGTCAGCATGGCTAAGTGGTTGCAGCATCTGCCTGCACACCTAAGGGTCGTGGGTTCAATTCTGATCCAGGGCGCAGGTTTGATTCCCTGGCCCCATTGGGGCACATGCGAAGGCAACCAATTGATGTGTCTTATCACATGAATGTTTCTGTCTCTCTCTCTCCCAGTCCCTTCTACTCTCTCTAAAAATCAACAGAAAAAATATCCTCTGGTGAGGATTAACAACAAAAAAGAATAGGTAAATAGTAGAGAAAAAAAATAGCAAAAGCAAACTCACCAATATGACCAGCAATAGCAGAAGAGTGCCTAAAACATAAGGAGTAAAAAATGCAAAACCACCACTTACCTTGTGGTTGCTTTATTCAGGGGGGAAAATTGTAAAACCTTAGACCAGAAATGAATTTTTTTAAAAAATTTAGTGAAAATGGCAAAATGAATCATTCTTACAAGTTTTTCTGTATTATAGCATAACAGACTACTTCATGTCCATAGTGACATGAGTCTGAAGTCAAGTGGCATATAATATAATCTTTATCAAGCAGATAATTGATGAACATTAGAAAATAGTATCTCCAAAACAACTAATATTTTAAATCAAGAGTTCTTAACCAAGCCTACTGAATTTCTAGAGTCAGTGAAACCTATGAAATTGTAAGCAAAATTTCATATATATGTGTGTGTTTTTTCTTTTCTTAGACAATCATCAGATTTTCAAAGAGGTGAAGGCTCAAAAACGTTGGGCTAGTCTTATAACTTAAAGCTTATCCAATTCCCCTCCAAAAATGTGAAGCAGATTACAAAAATTTTAAAAATATTTAAAACAAAATAGGTAAAATAAATGCTTATATTATTAACTATTTGGTATAAGATCAACTATTATACTGCACTTAAACAATGCAAATGTGTGGCATTCAATGAGTTAAGGGTCTACTGCCTAAAATATTTTCTTAGTTATTCTCTAAGAATGCAGAATAAATGTAGTATTGCCATACATTTTGCTTGGACAATAAAGAAAAGTGGAGCCCTAACCAGTTTGGCTCAGTGGATAGAGCGTCAGCATGCGGACTGAAAGATCCCAGGTTCAATTCCAGTCAAGGGCATGTACCTTGGTTGCGGGCACATGCCCAGTGGGAGGTGTGCAGGAGGCAGCTGATCGATGTTTCTTTCTCATCGATGTTTCTAACTCTCTGTCCCTTTCCCTTCCTCTCTGTAAAAAATCAATAAAATATATATTAAAAAAAAAAAGAAAAGTGGAAAGATTATGAGCTTGGAAATCAGAAAGACCCAAGTTCAAATCTCAGCTCAGTTTATTACTATGTCAACCTAAATGAGTTCTTCAATCTCTTAGTACCTCATAATTTCTTCCTTGATAAAAAGAGATAATTTAAGGATTAACCTAATATTTTTTAAATGTACTATTAGTTTCATTGTAGAATTCAAAATGAAATCTAAAAGGAATATGAGGAAAAAAACCTTCAAAGCTGCTACAACCTCTGTACTTTCAGAACAGAACTAACTTCAATGCAAATTTTTTACAAGTAATTTCTGATTGATAAATAAATTATACTTAATATTCATAATAAATGATATTCAGAATAACAGCTTTAGTCTGATATTGCTGTTCATAATTTAAGGTGTGTGTTTTTCAAATAATGTTGACACAAAATTAGAAAAATGCTTATACCTTAACAGACTGTAAGATGCTAGTCCCCTGCTCAGTTTCAATTTTGCAATTATCACACTCAATATTTTGGACTTTTATACAGCCAGACCCTGAAGACTTGATATTCAAATCTAGAAATGAAAAAACAAAATACAAGTTAGTACGATGGTTAATGGGCTCCAAAGCGTTTTAATACCCCCCAGAAATCCAGCTCCTCAGTTAAGTTCACAATATTACTGAACCCTGGAGACAGCACAGTTGTCTCTCTCTCTAAAGATAAGGGGTCTCCATCATGGCAACAGGACCAAATGTAATGCCTTTTTCTGCCAGTTCTTATAAATAGAGCAGTTATTTCTGTTAGGCAATGTCATCTAAAGAGAGAAAGTAATATGGAAGGGAAGTAAAGGAGGTCTTAAACTGCAAATCTTAAAGGAACTTCTGGGAAAGATCATAGAAGCTTCTTTCCCACTGAGAGAACACACACACACAGTTCTAGTAAGAATACAGAGAGTTAACAAGTCGTTATGATAAACTAGGTAAGTCAGCCTATTCTTCCTTATATTCATGACATTTCAAAAATTTGCTCCCAAACCTCCCCCAAATTAAAAGCATTTTGCAGTAGTGTGGATTAGCATATATGATCATGACTTAGTATTTCAAAATCCTATCTCTAATCTTTTGTATCTAAAACAGAGGATATTAGCATGCAGCTACATAAGTATTTTCAGTAGTAAAAAATGGGAACAACTTGGAAAAACCTAGTAATATGCAGTATTAAAATCTCAAAATTATGGATAAATAACAGTATTATCCAAAGAAAATTGGAAAATAAAAAGTCACAGGTGCCACTCTTGGCTATTAATTTAGGGTGTAATCGTGGTTGTCTCTGTACAAAACATTAAAAAATAAACACTGATATTTAATACCTCATTCAAAAAAATATTGATGATTTCCCTTAAATTAGACTAGAGAAATAAGCACTATGTTGCCCCAAACACAAAATACTGGGGTATGATACCACAATTTCAACAGTTATGGCATAAAAAAATCAATTTCTATAGTTGTGTATACTGTAGTCTTTACTCTATAAAGGCTTAAAATAACAGCAATATTTTGGTTGGGATTAGTCTAAAAGATATAAAAAGACAATTTTACCTCCTACTTCCATGAATGCAACCGTAACTGCAAATTTTTTACCCAGTTGTGTGACAACCTAAGGCTTGATCTAAGGCAGCGTTTGATAGACAGGGAAAGAAGGAAACAGATTCTCACTAGGTAGGTAGAGAAGTTTGGGCTAGAGAAACTGAACGGCAGTAATGCTACTCTTACCCATTCACTGAAATCCAGTGGTTCTCAACCTTCCTAATGCCGCGACCCTTTAATACAGTTCCTCATGTTGTGGTGACCCCCAACCATAAAATTATTTTCGTTGCTACTTCATAACTGTAATGTTGCTACTGTTATGAATAGTAATGTAAACATCTGATATGCAGGATGTATTTTCAGGGGTCGCGACCCACAGGTTGAGAACCGCTGGTAGACAAACTGGAGGAACAAGTATGAAAACAATTGAATCATGCTGATTTAAGGGGCCCATGCAATCGACACATGGAAACAGTCCATTGGAAATGGGGTTCTTGCTCTAAAAAGAGGAATCAACAAATCACGAGGTTTGGGATCACCAGCACAGGTAAGTTCCATATTTATCTGCGCTGACATAAAATTCTGTGTGTCTCTATTTCAATACCCAAGTCTATTTTGTACTACAACCTGCCCCAACCCCTGACTGTTACATTTTGAGGTCAAGGGTTTCTTATTCATCTGAGCAAGTTGGAAGAAGTTGAGAAGCAAAAAGCACAGTGACTCAGCGGCCGACAACCCGTTAGACTCCCCATTCCACCACTTTGTATCTCAGAGCGGACAGGCATATATTTCCTGATCTAACCCCGTTAGAATATACATTTCATGAAGGCATGGATTTTTTTTTCTACTTGTTCACCTACAACAAGTACATACTTTATGAAACTTGCTCTCTCTCTCAACTTCCTTATGTGAAATGGGGACAATAACAGTTATCTACTTTTATTCATTCAGTTGTAAAGATTAGATTATTTTTGAAGGGTTCGCTGCTCGTTTGATCATCTACAATGTCCGCGAGTCTCAGGAAGGAGCACCTGGGGGGGCTTTCCTAGGGAAAGTGTTGGCTTGCATTTGAGAAATCACATGCAACGCAAACACGTGGGAAACAAATCTTGCAGGCACGGCCAACCGAAGTTTCCCGGGCAGCCTTGCTCTGCGTTTGTCTTCAAAACCTGCTCCCCACGGCACATGATGAACGGAGATGGATCGGTAGGAAGCTGGGTGCCCATCTGAAGCCAAGCACGTGGTCCAGGTTAGTAACGGAGCATCCAATGCCCGGGCTGTGTTGGGACAGACCCACAAGCTAGGGGAAATGCGGGCGGGCGGACGGACGGACGGACGGCCCTACCACCCTACCACCGAAGGGGTTATCAAGAAACATGCGCCTTGAAAAATCTTTTTTCTACGGACAAGGTGCAGTGACAGAAAGAGGAACCAAGTGCCAAAAAAGAACATAGGGGGCTCCATAAATGTTATCTGACTTAGATTAATCCAAATCATGTTTCCATTCGATGGTTGGGAAACGAATTTGTAACCAGCACTGGGATCCTCCGAGTAGAACAGAATAAAAATAAAATAAAAAGGAAGGCTGTGAAGGGGATAGCCGTAAATGAGGTTAGAAAGTCAGATCCAAAACAACCAACTACCAGTGGCCCAAACCCGCGTTCACGCCCCTGCACTTGCCAAACTTCAGGGGCGCGTTCACCTCCACGGACGCCTGGGGGTCGATGGTGTCCGACACGATGGCCACCTCCTTCGACTCCTCGTCGTACCCAACGTGCAGGCCGGCCAGGTGCGGCGCCCCGCCCTCCATGCCGCTCACGGCGACCAGCACGCGGTCGGCGTCCGGGTAGGCGAGGGGGTCGAGCGGCCGCACGGCCAGGTGGCACGGCAGCCCGCGCCCGCAGCCCGCCCGAACGGGCTTCACCCCGCAGCGGCCCACTCCTTCGGCGCCGCGGCGGGGGGGGCCCGGGGGGGGGGGAACTTTCCGGTTTGGAACCCCGGGGCGGGGTCTTCCGGCCCCCCCGGGGGCCGGGCCGCGGGGGCCTTTAGGGGGCCCCGGAACGCCCGGGGCCCAGGAAGCTTTCCGGGGCCCAAATTTGGGGGGTATACAAACCCGGGGGGGGGGAGCCCCCCCGGCCCCGGGGGGGGGGGAAAAGGGGGGCCCCTCTCACGCTGTCTCAGATCACCTCAGCCACAGGCCGGTCGCACCCCCACCAGACGACTTGGTACTGCGCCGCGCAAGTCCAAAGAGAGAAGTTTGGGGGGGACTTGCTGAAGCAGAGCAAGCCTGCTCAGTGTGTCTAGGAATTGACGCCTCAGCGCCAAGTTGCAATTTCAAAGCAGTGCGTACCCTCCCGGACCCGGACTTCTCGCCTACCACCGCCCCTTTCGCAAAGGCAGATGGGAGAGGTAGTTCTAAAGGGAGCCAAACAGCAAAGGTTCGGGGTGCTCAGAAACTACATATCCCAGGAGGCAATGTGCAGGGTGGAACGCGAGTGAGAGCAGGTGTTAGATATCTGTGCTTGGAGGCGCGTGTACTTTGCCTCAAAACCATTAGCCATTGGAGGGACGGAAAAATGGGTTACGTGATCGTTCCGCTGGCCAATGGAAAGCGCGGAAGGGGCAAGGTGGGCAAGGCTGTGTGGTTTCCGTGGATACCGAGGACGCGACTTCTTTGGAGAGAGCGGAGCTTTAGAGTGAGCCTTGAAGGCCATAACCCACGGAGACACAGGAACTTAAATAAAGGTCAGTACCAAGGGAAGGAGTGAGAAACTGAGATTTTAAAGGTGAGAACTGGATGCAAATTAGGAGTACCCTCAGTGGGTGGTTAGGTCCAAACTTCGCTAAACTGGAACGGGGAATCTTGGGATGGAGAATCCCTTCAAGGGGATAAAAAGCCAGATTGGGACTCTTTGAGGGAACGTCCTCTTTGGCAGAATAAATTGGAATAGAGTTAGAGTCCTACCTCATTCTGACTCTAAGTGGTCTTGGGCCAGTCATGGGACGTCTCTGTGTTTTAATTGCTCGCTTTTAAAATGAGGTCAATAATACCTTCCTTGACTTGCCGCAAAAGGTTTTTGTAAGGATCAAATGAAGATAATGGACAGGCCATGTCAACAATGTAAAGTACTGTATTTTTATTTTAGGGATAGCATTGACTCTTAAGTTACCAAGAAAAATCTGAGAGTTCAGGACTTGTGTTGACAGCAGCATTGGTCTCTTGTCTACAAATAATCTTTGGTTTTAGGACTAAAATAAGATACAAAAAAGAGAGTCAACGTAGTGCAATGGGAAGAACATGGGACTGATTGTTTTCCTGGCTCTGCCCCTGGTGTATCTGTGTCACCTGGATCTGTTTCTTCAACCTTAAGATGAAGAGGGATTTGTACTGAATGACTCTATGAGGTCTCTTTTACCTTTTATTATTCTGTGGGTAATTTAAAAAGATGAAAAAGAATTTTTTTTCTCCTTTTCTGTTTATTTTTACTTTTCAGTGCCACTTCCTCCTCCTACAAATTATTCTCTAAGTTCTCAGCAAAGACAAACTGCAAGCAATGATGTTTAATATAATGCAAGTGTAGCTCTAACAGGTTTGACTCAGTGGATAGAGCGTCGGCCTGTGGACTCAGGGTCCCAGGTTCGATTCCGGTCGAGGGCATGTACCTTGGTAGCGGTCACATCCCCAGTAGGAGATGTGCAGGGGGCAGCTGATCCATGTTTCTCTCTCATCGATGTTTCTAACTCTCTATCCCTCTCCCTTCCTCTCTGTAAAAAATCAATAAAATATATTATAAAAATATATTATAAAAAATCAATAAAATATATATATATAATGCAAGTGTAGAAACTGGATGCCTTAAAGAAAATGACACCCTTGGCCAAGTGCAATAACCAGAATTACTGGGGGTTAGAGTGATAGATGTGGGCTAAATTCCTCATGATGTGAGCTAAAGCCTTTACAGGCCCAAGTCACAGGGTTCTTTGCTACCCATTACCTTTTTTAAATTTTAGTACTTTCTTAAGTTATTCTTTCCTCCTTTCTATTCTAGTCCTTCCTCCTTCCTTATTCTTCCTCTTATGAAGGCTCACAATAGGTACTAGCTTTTAAGTTTCCCACTGAAAACTAGTTATATTCTTGGCTTTTGTGTCATTTGGTCTGATCTTCAAACTGTCTTTTTTAATGAAAACCCATGAGAAAAACTTTAAAAAAGAACTCAAAAAAGGTGTTGGTTTAAACAAGTTGAGAATGCGTTCAAATTTGTTGTACACGTGCCTTATATTTTTAGATTAAATAGGAATTTCTAATAGATCATTTTGTTTCTATGGTAATTTCTTTTCTGAGACAAATCAAGTAAATGGAATTGGCAATTGACCCTTAATTGCCTATATGAGAAAATGATTATTTCATTATTTTGATGTAAATACAGTAAAACTAAAGATAATTGAAGAATTACTTTTTGATCACATAAGTTTGAAAATGGAGAAAATTATTGATAATTAAGATTAATACAAGATATTAAAAATTTATTGATACCTGGTCGGTGTGGCTTAGTTGGTTGGGATGTCATCCTGTACACCGAAGAGTGATAGGTTTGATTCCCAGTCAAGGCACATACCCAGGTTGAGGGTTTGGATCCCCAGTTGGGGAGCATACAGAAGGCAGCCAATCGTTTCTCTCTCATATCAATGTTTCTCTCTCTGTCTCTCTCTCCATTCCTCTCTCTAAAAATCAATGGAAAAACATTGATTTAAAAAAATGTTATTGATACTTTAAAAAGTCTAATGATTTATATATCAAATCTGGCCGCATGTTAATAATGACTAATAAAAATACTTCCTTCCATCTGTATGACATTATGGTTTTCAGAACATGTTCACATGTATTATCTCAGGGTAACCTCACAAAACATTGTGTTTAGCAGGGCAAGTATTATTACCCTCACATTAGAGATGAGAAAACAAATTCAGAAAGTTTAAGATTAAACAGTTAAAGGGTCTGGCCCTTTTACCACTTTATCAAAAGATCCTATCTTCTTGACACCTTTGGAAAAAAATATTCATCAAATGAGTGGAGAATAATATATAAATGTCCCCTCTTATTTTGAATTTACTTGTAAGATATTTTTACATCTTCAATTTTTAAAAAGCTGTTCCTGTGGTCATGAACATATACTACTGGTGGGAATGTAAGTTATTACAACATTTCTAGGGGCCAGTTTAGCATTATAGATAAAGCACCTTAAAATATGTGTATCTGTGACCTAGATATTGGGCTTTTTGGAATGTAATATAAGCATAAAGTTAGGGATATTAAAAAAAACTTATGTTCAAGGAATTTTGTTTTGCTGGGTTATTTATGGTAGTAAAGAGTTGAAGCAACTTAAATGTTCAAAAATAGGAGGGTGTTACCGAAATGAGTATATATCTGGAATACTATGCAATAATTTAAAATTATATTTTGAAGACTATTCAAAGATATGGCAATTTTTCCATAATATAATTGTAATGGGAAAATCTACAGTTTTCCTTCTGTGTGTGTCCCCTCTACCCTCACACTACTCCCACACTCACAACACTTCACTTCTGACATTCTGGTCACCAAATGCGTGAGGCTTCTCCCCCTAACAAGCAGTTCTCTGGGACACCAGCTGGGTGTCCTACAATTAACTCAACTGTGAGACTACCTACCTGGAGATGATGTCAAATCCCACAGGTTAAGGGCCCAGTCCCACAAGACTGCTTGCACCCACTTCAGATGCCAATCACAAATTGTAGGTCCCTTGGTTACCCACAACTTCTGTCTGATTTGGCTACAGATTGGAGATTCCCATGACCTTCCCCTCAAGTTAGATTCATTTGCTAGAATGTTCCCCTCAAGTTAGATTCATTTGCTAGAATGGTTCACAGAACTCAGAGAAATATTTAACTTACACTTACCAGTTGGTTAGGGGATATGATAAAGGATACAGATAAACAGTCAAAATGAACAGATATTTAGTGCTAGGTCTAGGATTGTCCTCTTGGTGAGGATATGATCCCTGTAGAAATGGGGTGCATCACCCTCTTGGTATGGATTGATATGGAACACCAAGCAGGTGACCCTGTTGGTATGGATTGGTATGGAACACCAAGCAGGTGACGCACCCCATCCCCACAGGGATAGAAGAAGCTTCTGCTCTCAGAAATATTAAGTGAGAAGGGTAGAATACCAAGTTGTATGTCTAATATGATCCCAATTTTGTAATAATAATAATGATGGTATTTTCACATAAAATTATATTTAAAAATATATTCCATAGAAACAATTCCAAAAGAAAATACACAACTTGATAACAATTGTTATCTCTAAGTAGTGAGATAATGAATTATTTCTTCATTTTTTGTGTGTATTTTCAGTAGGAAACATATTACATTTTTAATTTAAAATATTTAACTAATTTCTTAGTACATATTGCTTCCTAAAAGTGACTCAATATGTAAATGCCCATGAATACTTTATTTAATAATTTATATTCAGTAAATGAACAGCAGAGGGCATGAGAGAATTTTCAGAAAAATGTAACCTAAACAAGGATTATGGAATTCAGCTTCAAGTGAGGGAAGCCCTAGGAATTTGCTAACTTTCTTAATTATAAAATTTAAAGATAAATGTATCTTATGACTTTTTTTGAAATCTTAACAAACTCAATAATCTGAACTACTACCTAACAGTACTAAGGAGTATTTAATTGTAGTCCCCATTTGAAATTTGCATGTTATTTGTATCCAGGCAGAGATGTACAGGAAAACCTTTGTTACTTAATGTAGTCAAATTTTCCCACTTTAAATACCTTGAAAAGTTACCTAGGTTACAAATATCTCAGGAAGATTCTTGAGGTAGAGGGATGTAGTACTTTATACATTAAAGCAATATATATTTGTGTGTGTGTAAGATAGTATTTATTGCACCCTGGCCAAGTGGTTCAGTTAG